AAATTATTAGTAATGTATTTATCAAGCTAATTCAAAAAACACCATGACTTTTTGAATTTCTTAAAAACTGATGTAAAGACCACCTGAAAATATAAAAACTAACTAAAACAAGATAAACATATCATTAATAATTTTTATAGAAAATTTTGTCTAATACAGTAGCATAAAAATGAAAATAAAATACTAAATTTTTTTTTTTTAAGATTAGTTTGTCAAATGAATTAAGTGCAATAAGTTAAATATATATTTTTTGCCTTTGAGGAATAAAAGAAGTCTTAAAAAAAAAACACTTACAAAAAAGCAAAGCATATATTGGTCATCTGCATCTCGATAGACCTATTCCTCATAGGCTTTGAATGTGAACCAGAACAAATGCAGGAGAAAAACAGGAGAAAGTTAAATGCAGAAGAGACTGCATATGTTATTCATTCATCTATTAACTTGCAGAACTAAAATAAAATAATAAAAAATTATTGTGCTGCATGCAGAATAGTTTATGTGTGATTTTCTTTGATCTGCAAGTAATAAGAAGAAGAAGGCTGGCGGGAGTCAGAGGCCCAATGGCTGAAGACCTTTTTAGAAATATTTATTATATGTAAATGAATAACACTTCTCATTTAGTCTTTGCAATAATAAATCAAGATTTTTCTTAAAAATCAAGGTATCTTTTTTTTTCTTCAATGAATTATGATACATGCATGCATTTTTACCTTTAAATTAATTAATTTTATATTTTTAAGTAAACTAGTTTATTAATGTATGCATGTGATTAATAATTCATCTTATATTTTCATCTATTAAGACATATACGTACATTTTTATATTTTATTTAATTAATTATATATATTAATATATGCAATATTTTTATCTTGTGTTTAATTATGTACTTGATCAGCATTTATGTTACAAATAAAGTTAAAGTTTATGACTAATAATATTCAGTAAATTTTTAATTTTGTACAACACATATACTATAACACATGTAATTATTTTTAATAAACAGTGTATTTTGTATCAGCTATTGTATTTAGCTTCACTAATAAATAATATTTACATTGGTAGAAAAAATGTATACTATAGTTCATTTTATTTTTTTCTTAATAATAAGTAATATAACTTAAATAATAATATTTTTTTTATAAATTGTTGCATTTTAATATTTTGTATCTTTTTAAAAATATATGATCAATAAAAATCACGTTTTATATATTCAAAAAGTAATAAGTATTTTCATATAAAATAGTTTAATAAATTTATGCATATAATTTCATATTTGATAATTCATAATTTAACTGCATATAATAGATTACTTAATACCATTGAAATATCAAACATTTTCTTTGTTCTTGCATATACATTTATTTTTTACTATTATTATTAAAGTAATGGTATTTATTGATACTTTTGTCAACATGATATTTCTTACTTATTTATAATCAGATGTATTATGTTTAGTTATTTAATTTCATTAAAAATAATATTTATTTAAATATAATAATTTATTGATATAGTTTGATCTGCATTTGTTCTGCATGATCTGCATGATCTGCATTTGTTCTGCTTGATCTGCATTTCAGTTTGATCTGCACTTTTTAATCTGCATTACCCATTCGAAGCCATAATATTTACAGATCAATAAATTAGTATATAAAGTTAATCTGCATGCACATTATCTATATGGCTATGAATGTGTTGCAGTACAAATGTAGATATAATGCAGTCTATTTTGTATGATATACAACTGCATTTTGTGCCCATTCATGTTTAAATTGCATAACTAAAATAAATCAATAATATAAAATCTCATATGCATGCAGATTCTTTTGTTTTTGTAGATGATGTTCTGCATTTATCAAAAGAAAACGTGTGGGATGAAGGCAGAGGCCCAATAGCACACTTTAGTTTTTTTTTTCTTTTGGGTAATTAGTTGCTTATGAAACAAAAAATTCTGCATGCATATGAGATTTTATATTATTGATTTTTTTAGTTATGCAATTTAAACATGAATGGGCACAAAATGCAGTTGTATCTGAATACAAAATTGACTGCATTATATCTGCATGCATATGAGATTTTGAAATATATGATCAATAATAATCATGTATTATATATTCAATAAGCAATAAATATTTTCATATAAATTAGTTTAATAAATTTATTCATATACTCTCATATTTGATAATTCATAATTAACTGGATATAATTTTCTAATTACTTAATATCAATGGAATATCAAACGTATTGTTGTTCTTGCATATACATTTATGCATTTTATATTTTGAAAATTTAAATGAAGAGTTTTTTGATACAATAACATACATAAAAATGGCAATGTTAGTTCTACAGTTGAAGTAAATGGTAAGAAAGAACCAAAATCGAATAAAAATATAAAAAATAATAGCAGAACAAGAAAATTATTTATGATTTCTGTAATTGTGATGAATTTTTATATAATTTAAAATTTACTATACTTATTAAAATGATTGTATTTATTGATCTTTTCGTCAAATTATATTTATTATTTATTTATAATAAATTGTATTACGTCTAGATATTTAAAAATTCAACATCTATTTAAATATAATAACTTATTAAAATAGTTTGATCTGTATTTGTTCTGCTTAATCTACATTTTATGATTTGCGTTACCCATTTGAAGCCTATATCATTTTATTTTGTTCTACATGTTTTATGGTGATTGGAAATGCAGTTGTATCTGCAAAATAAATAATCTATATTAAATCCGTGTTTTATCTGCATCTCATTCATAGCCTAAGGCTGTTATTGTTATTTTTTTATTTTTTTTTTTACTATAGCTTTTCAAACCAAAATAAAGTATGATTGATGATTTTAATTGATGTAAGTAGAAAGTAAAGATTAAGTCACCTCATACATGATACATCCCAACCAATCAACTCATTGTTTAGTTTAGGCTATACGACATACATTTCCTTTACATGTCGACAGTGCCGACTTAAAACTATGTCGACAGTTCTTGCCTTGTGAGTTGTTGATTTGATATTGTTGATGGGAAACATGGGATGCTCTGTATATGTTGTTCCTCCAGAGGTAGTTGACAGTAGTTGATTGTCTTATTCCCACATGCCTAAATGGTGACCAATTGTAAGTCGAGAGAACAAACAGTTTATGCCATCTCTCACGACTAACTTCTTTGCCTAGTTTTCTCGGTTCAGAATTATAAAAAAAAAAAAAAACCTAGTTACCAGTATAATAACCACCAAAACAAGTGAGTCAGAGCCGTGTGGCTAACTGATAATAAACTGATGGGCTTCAAGATAACTAACGATAAAACCACGTGTTAGTTTTTGATGTTACCTTACATTTTCTTTACAAAAATAAAATAATAATGGGTCGTTCATGAAATATTCTCCTGCAAAAGTAATCATGTCGTTTAAGTTTATATTTTTTGGTCTAAGTTTAAGTTATATTTCTCCATTGGTCCCGGAATTGTCGACGAGACCAACATGTATAAACATGATTTATAGGATCACAATGAAAAGAAACATGTTGAATGTTCGCAAACTTTGAAATTTGATTAACGTCAGGAAATGAAAATTTAGTTTAATTAGCCTTATACGTGTAGACTATAGAGTATACAAGTGTCAATATTTGGTCCTGGTGTCTAGTTTTTAATTACAAAGTGTATTTGTGTCATTAAGATGGATCTAGAATAGTAATCTCTTTTTGGTTTTAGTAGTGACAACTAAAACTGCTTTTGTCTTTTAGATAAAGTTAAATTCGTTTTGAATCGTTCGTTATCAGCGTCTACTATTAGTACGTACTTACTATTTTTAGAGATATACTCTTTATAGTCAATTAGCTTATACACTATTTCCAGTCTCGGAAATTTCAACTTGTATGTGAATGCTGTCAAATACAGAATAGAGAAGTCAATATATTAGAATGATTGACCCAATCCTAACCACAAGACTAATTTAAAAGCTTTTGAAATATAATTTTTCATAGATGCATGCAGAACTAAATTCTGTTTTGAATACTCTAGGTTTAACATATATATAGTATTCGACAGAAATTACTTTGAAAATACGATACAAACACTGCATTGATTTTGAGTTAATTGCTTACTCTCTAAGAATTTTAAGTTGACCAAGGACCTCCGGCATCAATTGAACGTTCCAAAATATCAATTCACTGCAGTTTCAAAAAAAAAAAAATCAATTCACTGTTTCATTCAAAACTGATTTTCCTTTTTAAATCATATTATTCTTCACCACTATTATATGATCCGACAAAAAAAAAATTATATGATCCGACAAAGTATAGATCGATAATTATACAAGAGACAACGTGGAAACTAAAAGAAAGAGAGGGAATGGGCTCCACTCCAATAGAAACTCTTCTTGTTGAGATTAGTTAGCCAACCATCTCCCACTCCTTCCCATTTCCTCCCGCCAAATTATACAATTCTGTTATCAAAATTAATAATTTAAGCATTATTTATTCAATTAGTTTCCAACAAGAATGTGTGTATATAATAAGCTAAACCAAAAATATATATTTACATATGTAAATTCCTTGGATTAGTACAACGTTAAGTAATGGACGCATAGGGGAAATTTAAAATGATTTTTCTATAGTACTATTTTAATTAAAATTCTTGGTTTTTATAGAGTACTATATATATTTTAAGTTAAAATTCTATGTTACTATAGTTTGGGAATGATCAGCAGAAGAAAAAGCGAGAAGATTTTTCTGTTATAACAAAAAGATTTGTGATATGGTAATTTTGAATAGATGACTTCATCAAGATATTCTTCTTATCCATTTCTTTTCTAAAAAGAAAAAAATTATATAAATAAAACAAAACAAATAAAATATCTTTCCTTTTCCTCTCAATACGTGAGAGAAAGGTCTGCTTTGGCGGTTGGAAGCAGCAGTTGCTATCTTAAAACATTGCTTCATAAACAAAATCTCAGATGTTAGATTAGGCCAACGGTTCTCTTCCTCTCTTCATCTCCCTTTCTTTGATACTCTTCAAACCAAAGCAAACAAAACAAACCATAACATCAAAAGAGTTTGTTTCTTATAAAAATATATAAACAATCCTTTGGTTATGGTTTGATTCTTGGTCGCCATCTCTTGCCCAACTTCACCTTCCCTGACATAAACACAACACCTTCCTAATCTTTCTTTCTTATAACCCTCTTTTCTTGTTCCTTGTCTTCTCAATCTTTTAACTTATTTTAGAAACATATTCTCCCACTAAAATTTATTTCATTTCAGACAAAAGCTGCTATTGAGTAGTTTCCTTTTATGGAATAGATTCCTTCTTTTTGGGAAATCGTGGAGTTCGTGTACGGAGCTGAGTTTACCTTTTTTGGTGGTTGCAAATAAGGTAAATAGATTTTTTCATGTGTTTTTATTATTATTGTTAGGTCATGGAAATTTCATGATTCCTTTTCTTTAGTTTCTATTTTTCTTGTGTGTTTTGCTTTCATGATCTTTTCGTTTATAAACTTTCAAGTTTCATGTGTGTGTTCACAACTTATAAACTTTCAGAAAATTGATATTTTTTTTGTTATGTTCAATTTTTTTTAAAGGTCTAAATAGATATCAAAGGCTTTGGAATGGATACTATTTACTCTGTTCAACCTGAACCATCTTCCAATATTATCTCCATCACTATTTCATCATCTTCTTCCTTGAGTACCACGCCACCACGAGGTGACAACACTGATTCTTCTGCCTCTGTTCAAGAGAGGTCCTTCTACTTAAGGTTCGCTATGAGGGTCTCTAGAGCTAGATGGTTTATATTCTTGAGGAGAGTGTTCCACTATCAAAACGGATCAAGATCAGATCTCGGCTCCAATCCTTTCAACTCCACCACGTGGATGATGTCTGAGCTTATAGCTCTGCTTGTTCAGCTTACTGTGATAACACTCACACTAGCTATCTCAAAAGAAGAGAGACCTATTTGGCCAGTGAGGTTATGGATCACAGGTTATGATGTGGGATGTCTCCTCAGTCTCATGCTGTTATATGGTCGGTTTCGCTACCAAGGAAACATGTTTGTCCTCAGTGATATTGAGCAGCAACATAGAGGCAGAGAAGAAAACAGGTAATAACTTATATTTTCTTGATTCTGAATCCTATAACCTTTGCAAGATCTTGAAGTTATATTAATATTTTTGAATGTTGTAAATTTTCAGGAGCTCTCATTTGATGAACAGATGCAGAACGTCTCTAGAGCTTTTCTTTGCGATTTGGTTTGTGATTGGGAACGTTTGGGTGTTTGATTCTAGATTTGGTTCTTTCAACCATGCTCCCAAGCTTCACTCCCTATGTGTTTCTCTTCTAGCTTGGAACGCTCTGTGCTACTCTTTTCCCTTTATTCTCTTCTTGTTCCTTTGTTGCCTTGTGCCTCTCGTTAGTAGTCTCCTTGGATACAACATGAACATGGGATCTTCAGACAGAGGAGCATCTGATGACCAAATCTCTAGTCTCCCTAGCTGGAAGCACAAACGAATCGATGACCATGGTTCTGATTCAGCTCCTAAAACTGATGATCCTGTAAGTTATAGTACTTTTGACTCACATATCAAACCATTTCTGGTTTAACAAAGACTTGAATTAATATTTGGTTTTAGTTGAAATTACTCTGTTTGATCCACTAAGTAGTCTGATATCATTGTCTATTAGTAGTCTGACATATATATAAGATAGAAAATGAGTGGATTTTTATATTTAATATGGATTTGCAGGAGTGTTGTATATGTTTGGCAAAGTATAAAGACAAGGAAGAAATAAGGAAGCTTCCATGTTCACATAAGTTTCACCTAAAGTGTGTAGATCAATGGCTTCGTATCATCTCTTGTTGCCCTCTCTGCAAACAAGATCTTTCCAGATGAAAACAGAAAAAACTAAAGGAGACAAGAGCTCATAAGAGTCGAAATCACTAATTTAAGTTTTATAGTTTTTTTGTTTGGTTTTCTTCTTTCAAAGGTTTTTAATTATTTGAAGCAAGTAGGTTACTTGTGTGAGTGTCATAAGTTTTGTACAGAAATAGCTCACCAGTAACCGTAAAGTATTGTGAAGAGTCTACAAATCAAAAATGCCACAACATTTATAAAAATCTTTATACTGTGTTTACACTTCATATTGCTATTTCTCATCATGCCTTGTGTTTTCAGTTTTATTTGCTAATAAAAGCATACATTACCCTCACTGAGTTTACCTAAACCATGTAACTACACCAAGCTTTCAAACTAATTTTGTAGTTATCAAAATACCTGATTTTCATGTTGGACAAAGTTTGGTTCACAAGGCATCTTAATATTCTGAAGTTGATTTGTTTTTCTCTTGCTGAGCTTTGTTGTGAAACAAAATTCTTTTGCATCTTGACCAAGGGCTATATCTAGATATACAACGGGTCCATATGATAGGTAAAGTTTTAAAGTTTATCGACGTGACCCAAGTGGCTTGCTTAAACCTGTGGGTTTTCCCCAAAACAAGCTCACTAGAATACGTAAAGACTAACAATGGCCAGCGAATCTACTAAGCAGGGTGCAGCAATGCAAAGAATCTTGAAACTGAAGCGACAAAATGAGATATGTATGTTCTTTATTGACTCTTCTAACTTGTCTGCCGAATCACAGAAGACAGGAAACGAGTAACTTAACGCAAAAAGACAGAACAAAGCAGCTAGTTGCTCTTCACTCCAGGTACTTGAACAGATACCTTACTATCTTGTCTAAGCAAAGATCATGATACAAAATATAATCTATGGTCATGGAGGATACTATCAACCATGCAAAAACCGTCTGGATTAGGTAAAAACGAATTCTCTTAACAGCAATAGTTTTAGTTCAGAGATAATAAAAAAAGCTACACCGCTAATAGTACTTGAAGAAGAAAAAAAAAACCCAAAATTATAGTTTCAGCCATAGAAAGGTAACAGATAAGTAGAGAAAACCATTAGCTGCAGTCATTGGGCGTCATTTAGTCGACCTCCTCCATCTTGCTACCTTCGGCATCGGCATCATCTTCAAGCGGAGGCATCTCTGCATCAGCTTCGGCGGTATCATCTTCGTCAATGCTCAATCCCAGCTTCAACATCCTGTGGATTCTGCTCCCGAAGGTGTTTGGCTCGTCTAGGCTGAATCCGGAAGTGAGAAGCGCAGTCTCAAAGAGTAGCAGAACAAGATCCTTCACCGACTTGTCATTCTTGTCGGCTTCAGCTCTCTTCCTCAGCTCGTCCATGATCGAGTTCTCTGGGTTGATTTCCATGGTTTTCTTGGAAGACATGTAACCACCCATGCTGCTGTCTCTCAAAGCCTGCGCTTTCATGATCCTCTCCATGTTCGCAGTCCAGCCATATTCACCTGTTACGAGACAGCAAGGTGAGTCCACAACACGGTCAGAGACAATAACCTTCTCGACCTTGTCTCCAAGAACGTCCTTGATCACTTTGCAGAGTCCCTCAAACTTTTCCTTTAGCTCCTCCTTTTTCTTCTTCTCGTCCTCTGACTCTTCAAGTTTCAGACCTTCCTTGGTTGCAGACACAAGCTTCTTTCCCTCGAATTCCTTGAGCTGACCAATGGCATACTCATCAATGGCATCAACCATGTAGAGAACTTCGTATCCTTTCTTCTTGAGCCTCTCAAGGAAAGGAGAATTCTCCACAGCCTTCTTGCTCTCACCGGTGATGTAGAAGATATCCTCTTGACCTTCCTTCATCCTGGTCACGTAGTCCTTGAGGCTGGTCAACTCATCGCCGCTCTTGGTGGAGTGGTAGCGGAGCAACTCAGCAATCTTGGTTCTGTTTTGAGAGTCCTCATGGATACCAAGCTTCAAATTCTTAGAGAAAGCTTCGTAGAACTTGTTGTAGTCTTCCTTGTTCTCAGCAATCTCAAAGAAGAGCTCCATGCACTTCTTCACCAGGTTCTTGCGGATGACCTTAAGGATCTTGTTCTGCTGCAAAGTCTCTCTAGAGATGTTGAGAGGAAGATCTTCAGAGTCGACAATACCCTTGACAAAGCCAAGGTACTCGGGAATGATGTCCTCACAGTTGTCCATGATGAAGACACGACGGACGTAAAGCTTGATGTTGTTAGGCTTCTTTTTGGTGTCAAAGAGATCAAAAGGAGCTCTCTTGGGAACAAAGAGAACAGCCTTGAATTCGAGCTGTCCCTCAACCGAGAAGTGCTTCACGGCCAAGTGCTCTTCCCAGTCATTGCTGAGACTCTTGTAGAAGGCAGCGTACTCCTCCTTGTTGATCTCCTCGGGCTTCCTCATCCAGATAGGCTTCTGCTTGTTCACCAAGTCCCATTCGTGTGAAACCTCCTTAATCTTCTTCTTTTTCTTCTCTTCCTTCTCTTTCTCCTCATCTACTTCCTCAACCTTTCCTTCCTCATCCTTCTTCTCTTCCTCATCCTCATCATCAGAAATCTCCTTCTCAATGGTCTTCTCAATCCAGAGGGAGATTGGGTAGCTGATGAACTCAGAGTGCTTCTTGACCAAATCCTTAAGCCTCCTCTCCTCAAGGTACTCCAACTGATCCTCCTTAAGGTGAAGGACCATCTTTGTACCCCTGCCAAGACTTTCCCCAGAGGTATCCCTGGTCACGGTGAAAGACCCACCAGCCTGAGACTCCCACACGTACTGCTCATCATCATTGTGCTTGGTAGTGACAATGACCTTGTCAGCAACCAAGTAAGCAGAGTAGAAACCAACACCAAACTGACCAATCATGCTAACATCAGCACCAGCAGCCAACGCCTCCATGAACTCCTTGGTACCAGACCTCGCAATGGTTCCAAGGTTGTTAACCAAATCAGCCTTGGTCATACCAATACCACTATCAATAATGGTCAAGGTGTTGTTAGCCTTGTCAAGAATGATGTGAATGAATAGCTCTGGCTGGCCATCGAGCTTGCTCTTATCCGTCAAGGACTCGAATCTGATCTTGTCCAAAGCCTGCATCACAAGATCAAAACCATTAAGTATGAAACGCAAGAACGTATACAAACGCATAGAACGAAGCTCAACCTCTATCTCTTAGAATCAATCCAAAACTACTTCACGTCAATTTAGTAGCAACACTAGACATCCGAGTTCCTTATTTCAATCAAGAATCAAATCAATCTAAACCTAAATCATCTCAGATTGGTAGCAACACTATATCTCAGAGATATCTACTTCAATTTTCAAATCAGAGAGAACAACTAACACTAATCAAACCTAATCTACAGATCGATCTAAGAGAATGAGAGAGAGTACGTACATCGGAGGAGTTACTGATGAGCTCACGAAGGAAGATCTCCTTGTTGCTGTAGAACGTGTTGATGATGAGTGAGAGCAATTGGTTGATCTCGGCTTGGAAGGCAAAAGTCTCGGCGTCTGCCATCGTTATCGGAGAGATCTAATAAAGGTTTATCTAAGGAGACGCAATAAAGGAGAGAGTAAGGATGTGAAGTAAGGAGGGGGAGAAGTTAAGTATATATATAGCCCCGCCCCACACTTAATAGGGTTTCTAGATCCTTCTGTGAGAGATCCATTATGTCAATTTTAAAACCACTTGGGCCCGATGATCTTGAGGCTGTAATTTACTTCTGTGGGACTTTTAAAAAGTAGATATTCAAAATAAACATTGTTTACTTTACAAAATATATTTTGATAATTAAATGAGAAAATATGCATGGTAGAGAGCTATTAAAAAAGGGTTTGTATCGACATATTGGTAACGGTGAAAACACTAATGTTTGGGGCGAGAACTGGATAATCGACACTATTCCTCGGCCTCCTATGTATCGCCAGAATAGCTCCATAAATCTAGCGTTAAAGGTTTCAGAATTATACATGCAAGGGTCCAATCTATGGGATGTTAATTTG